GAACGAAGCACATTGCTCTTTGCTACTTCCTTGCTCATGAGCTGCAGCAGCGTGGTCAGCTGCGCCTTGCTTACGTGGCCTCTCAGGCGAACACTGCTGATATCTTTACCAAGGCACTTCCGCCTTGTGATCATCAGCGCTGCTGTACGATGCTAGGTCTTGTGCCTATTTGGCCTCACTTGCTCACTTCTTGACCTTGCTTGTACTGTGATCTTTCTATACGTGCACTTGCTTGTTTACCTTTATATATGATCTTGCATGTGAACTGGCCTTGTGGCCTTGAACTTGTGCTCGGAATGTGTGGTGACGTTGTGATCCACCCTGAGCTTGCTTTGCTTTGCTTGACTGGTCTTGTGACCCCTTGTTCTCCCCCACTTTGCCTATGGGGGTGTGTCAGACTTATATGACTTAGCCTATGTAGGCTATAGTGGGGTAGCACATATGGGGTACAACACATTTCTAGGGTTTGTACTTGTACCCAACCTTCCCCTTAGTCAATCATTCCTCGTAATCTTCACAGAGGTCTCTACATTGGCAAAGCAGTCTTGAAGAATAACGTCTTCGTCCTCGACTTCGTCCCAGATCTCGGCACAGCTGACAGTGACGGGATCGTAACCTTCACCTCCTGGACACACCCGCCAGATCTTGATCCCGACTTCAGTCCAGAAGGCTTCTGGTACTCGCACACCATTCCTGAGGCAGAACGAACAAGAGCGTTAGCAACAATTCAACACTCAGCAACAGCAGAGACAACATCGGCAGCAGCAGAGACAACATCGGCAGCAGCAGGGACAACACCAGCAATAGCAGAGACAACATCGGCAGCAGCAGAGACAACATCGGCAGCAGCAGGGACAACACCGGCAGCAGCAGAGACAACAACGGCAACATTGGCACCAATCGCGGGTCCTTCAACTGCACCGGCTCCAATCGACGACGACACTTCACCAACTCCCACGCAGCAACTGAACCCAACTCAACGGGAAGTCCATCGAAGCGCCAACTTCACCGCCAACTTTTACTCCAACTCCGACATATATCGGCGCTCACTCGGACATCGTGCCACCGAAGACATCTGGCACGCACGAATGGGACATCCAAGCAACACAGTGTTAAACAATACAATCAGAGCAGGCGTGCTTGATAAAGACTCACTGCTCCTAACCGATGGAAACGAACTTCGACGAGCTCGCGGAACGTGCTTTACCTGCCCCGAAGCTGACTTACCACATCGACCGTTCGCTTCTCACCACAATCCCAGCGCACCAGCTTACGCACCACTCGAGAAAGTGTACAGCGACATCCTGTACAACCGCGAACCTGGACAAGGAGCATACAGCTACACCATCACGTTCATCGATGCCGCTACGCGTTACGTTTGGCACCTCAACCTACCGAGCAAGGACATGGCCTTCGAGGCCTTCGTCGCTTGGCTCCCAGTAGCAGAACGAGAATCGGGCGTGAAGCTAAAAAGCTTCCAATCAGACGGAGGAGGAGAATACACCTCACAGAGGTTCAAGCAGTACTTGGCAGAAAGAGGGATCAAGAGGCTCATCTCTCTACCTTACGCTTACCAGCAGCAAGGCGTAGCAGAAAGGATGAACAGGACTCTCCAGAACACCATGCGCAAACTGCTGCGAGGCATGCGACTGCCCAACCACCAGTGGCCCGAAGCAATGGACCACGCTGTGATGCTGCACAACTTGCTCTCGTCATCATCGCTCCCGAACAACGCATCACCGCATCTGCTGTGGACAGGAAAACAAGGCAGCACAAAAATGTTAAGAGTTTTCGGCTGCATGGTACAGTACCGACCCCCATCTGCACGAGCCGGCCGATTTTCCCAACGCGCACAGTGGGGACTACACCTGGGCATCGAAAGAAATTACAACGCGTGGAAAATTTTCGACGTTCACTCCAAGGAAACAATAGCAGCACGAGATGTCATTTTCTACGAACGGCTCACCCTTCCGACGTACCTTGCCAACCTGGAAGAAGATCGGGACCCCACAGGTGGCTTCCGTGGTGACCGAGCCTTCGCCTCGGCAGCAGACGAAGCTGACTGGGACGAGTAGAACGTGGATGCAGCCTCGGAGGAAGCCGGACCTCTCCCTTACTGCTCCGTCGACGTCCCAATGGATGGCGGAAACCCTCGCGAAAGCGCCAACGCCGAAGTATTCTACCACTTCTCCGACAACGGTTATGTTACACCTGCAGAAGTCAACACCAACGAATCGGTTTCAAGTCAATCCATCAAGGTTTGCAAGGCCTTTCATGCTTTGTCGTGAAAGATAAGCCTGAAATTTGAGCAGAATTGCCTGCGTTTGGGTTCTGATGCAAAACACAAAACAAACATTAGAAATAAGCTCTGAGACTCATAGGGGAGTCTTACCACACTGATTCTAGATCCCCCTATCATTTTCAAGTCAATCCATCAAGGTTTGCTAGGCCTTTCATGCTTTGTCGTAAAAGATAAGCCTGAAATTTGTGCAGAATTGCCTACGTTTGGGTTCTGATTGGTTTTAAGCTCTGAAACTCATAGGGGAGTCTTATCACACCAATTCTAGTTCTCCCTATCATTTTCAAGTCAATCCATCAAGATTTGCTAGGCCTTTCATGCTTTTTTCTGCAAGATAAGCCTGAAATTTTTGCAGAATTGCCTGCAAGTGAATTCTGCTGTAAATCACAAGCCAGTAATTGGAATTAGTGCGTGACACTCAGTGGGGAGCCTCATCACAGTAATTATAGATCCCCCTATCATTTTCATGTCAACAAGAAATTGTTGATATTTTTGCTGCATTTATAAATTTCTATAGTACGACACTATCCAATCTCGTCGATGTCGTTAAAAAGTGAAGGGCATTGTGCTTGTACAGTGTGATGACAAAAGGAGGGTTCACATTCGTGCAACATTTCTCTATGTGGACAATTGATGGGCGCTACGCAGTTTGGGTGTTTTGTTCATGCAAACTCTCTTTATATTACACATTTATAACACAATAGTTCACACTACACTTCACTCTTATCGCGTCTGGGCGCAACCTAGAGGACTAGCACGAAATGTAGAGTTAATATAGGGCAGACTCAGCATCTGGCAGTGTTTATCGGCTCAGAGACCTACTCTGACACACTTCGTGTCCGATTCTATCTGGCGCGCAAGTTTCGAAAGGCTCGCAGATATCTGGGGATCCCATTCGCCACATTTATTTTTACGGGCAGCCCTTACAAAACGTCTGGCGGTGATCCCCTTACGCATATTAGGGTGTGAGGTGCAGAGGTCAGCAACAACATCCGCTGCGTAGATAAGGGCTTCGGTGTGACGGCGCCACGTGTCCGTTCTTGGCAGAACATCTGCGACACCAGAGGCACGTGATTCGCGGTCGCAGATGTGGAGCAGATTCCCCCCAACTTTCGAACACCAACCTACACGGGAGACATCATGTTGTCGTTTAGATACAGAGGCTGTTATCCAAATCCGATTATTTTGCTAAGGGTTTATCCCTAGAGACAACTAAGTGAGACAGTAAATGCTGCACACCACGACGTCTCATATGACGGCCACGACGTCTCATATGATGGAACCTAGAGGTTCCATCCGCGCAGGTGAACGCGACCCAGTCATTGTTGCACCACGAGCTTCAACTCAGCTCGAAATCCTACGATTCAATCCATTTTAGCTGCAGCTGTCAGAATGTTATGTTTGTCTAGCCTGCAGTGGGGTACTCAATAGTGAGTACAGCCCAATTTAGGGTTTGCTATATGTACTCAACTGCTTGCTAGTGAAACCCCTTCTCTCTTTCATTTCCTCATTTCTTCTCAGCAGCGTCCATCGACCAACCTGATTCTCCCAGTTTTTGTATCCAATCTTGCTTCCTACGCCCAGAATGCAGAGATCTCCTGAGAGGTCTTCTACTAGCTTCACCAGGTAGTTCCCGGTGCTTCAGCAACCTTAGGCGGAGGCCGCTTCAAGAGTTTAGATAGCGACTTATTAACTCCAAGCCTGCGACTGCTAATTGAGTAGAGGAACTGGGTCGCGCAAGCCATGGCCGACACACCTCTGCTTAGGGGTTGCGGCTTAAAGGTTAACATTACCAATGAAGACTACGACACTTTAAGCGGTTCGCAGAAAGAATGGTCAGAGGACCTTCTTAACTTCGCTATCTTGTAAGCGTCACAATAGATTTATATCTATTTAGTATAATCTGCCTGTAGTGTAGCTGCTGTGTAATTCCCTTGTATGGTGGTGCACCTCTTTCACCTTTGTTAGGTTGCTATATGTACTCGTGTGCTATAGTGAACCTCCAACCATTCTTCAATTCTCCTTGGCACAAACTACTCGACACCCGCTTGGCCTAGGCTACTAAGCCTAGGCCCTTAGTAAACCCCGGTTCCTAGACTAAGTTCGTTTCGTAACATGGTGTAGAGCTAGGTCGTTCCCGACCTATTTTTGAAGGGCCCACCGTTAACCTTCACAATGGCGCGTCCCGTTAAGCAGCAAATTGCGGCCCCGTTCGTCCTTTCCCGTCGCTCGCCCGTAGCAAAATTCGTCACGGTAGGCATGACGGACGCTACGGTCGCGGCGGGAGTGACGGCGATCGTCGACCCACTGCTTCGCGCCGTCGTTCTCACCCCCGTCGACCCCGCGCACTACCCGCCACTGCAGCGCGATTTCCGCTGCTGCAGCCCGTCGCCCGTCCCGTCGCGCTGCCGCCCGTCACCAGATCCGTGCCGCCCGTCGCAAGATTCCCGCCACCCGTCCGCACACCGTCGCCCGTCTCCCTGCTTCCCGTCGCCCCAGCCGCTCCTTATCCCGCCGTCGCCCTGCCCGTCGCATTACCCCCGCCCCCTGCCCATCACCACACCCCGTCGTGATTATTCGCGTGTGCAGCGGCGGTCGCTGTGGGGGGGTTGAGGGAAGAAAGGCAGGGAGTGACGGCCGAACGCTGTGGGGGAGAGGGAAGCAGCGGAAAGGCATGGCGAGACCGCCAGCAGCTACAACGCTAGTAACGACCGCCAGCAGAGACCCCGCCAGCCGAGTCACCACCAGCAGCGCCACCGCCAGCAGAGACCCCGTTGTCAGCGCCAGCACTAGGCACCAGCACCAGCGCCAGCCGCCAGCACCAGGCACAAGCACCAGCGCCAGCCGCCAGCACCAGGCACCAGCACCAGCGCCAGCCGCCAGCACCAGGAACCAGCACCAGCGCCAGCTGCCAGCACCAGGCACCAGCACCAGCACCAGCCGCCAGCACCAGGCACCAGCGCCAGCCGCCAGGCACCAGACACCAGCACCAGCGCCAGGCGCCAGCACCAGGCACCAGCACTAGCGCCAGCCGCCAGCACCAGGCATCAGCACCAGCGCCAGCTGCCAACACCAGGCACCAGCACCAGCGCCAGCCGGCAGCACCAGGCACCAGCACCAGCGCCAGCCGCCAGCACCAGGCACCAGCACCAGCGCCAGCCGCCAGCACCAGGAACCAGCACCAGCGCCAGCTGCCAGCACCAGGAACCAGCACCAGCGCCAGCCGCCAGCACCAGGAACCAGCACCAGCGCCACCGCCAGTAGAGACCCCGCCGTCAGCGCCAGCACCAGGCACCAGCACCAGCACCAGCCGCCAGCACCAGGCACCAGCGCCAGCCGCCAGGCACCAGACACCAGCACCAGCGCCAGCCGCTAGCACCCGGCACCAGCACCAGCGCCAGCCGCCAGCACCAGGAACCAGCACCTGCGCCAGCTGCCAACACCAGGAACCAGCACCAGCGCCAGCCGCCAGCACCAGGCACCAGCACCAGCGCCAGCCGCCAGCACCAGCGGGGTTGAGTGGGCGGGTAAGGGGGTGGAAGAAGTAAGTCGGGCGTTTGCAGCAGTTGCCTGTAGCAGGCACGCCCCTGGAGGTGCTCAGCGGTGCTGTCCAGCTGCTCGTTGCAGCCACAGCACCTGCTCTCACGCCCACCTGCCGGGTCCTGCACCTATCGCTGCTGCATCTGCCGTGGCTGAGGTCACTGTGGCCCTATCTGCCATCACTGCACCTGCTGCCTGTAGCAGGCACGCCCCCGGAGGTGCTGAGCCGCGCTGTCCAGCTGCTCGTTGCAGCCACGGCGCTTGCTCTCACGCCCACCTCTCGGGTCCTGCACCTGCTGTTGTTGCATTTATCATGGCTGATCTGTGTTGCCGTTTCCTCTGCTTCTCCTACCTCTTGCCTAGGTTCCGGGGGTGTGACTTGCTCTAGTTATGTGCTGCAGGCAGTTAAGGGGGTGTGTCGCGATATATATTTATATATGTTTATAACTGCCTGTAGCTTTAGCTTTAGTGTAGTTATGCTTCCTTGCTATTGGGTGGTGCACCTCTTGTTTGTGTTTCTCGACTATATCTTGTATGCTTTGCTTTTAGTGAAGCTAACTTGTTTGGTCAACTCTCTCGATCCTCCCTTGGCCTTGACCTCGACACTTGCTAGGCCTAGGCTTAGTAGCCTAGGCCCTCCTTAAATCCAGTTACCAGTTAAGATCGCATCGTAACACTCGGGGCTCCACAAATACCCCCGCATAGTTTGTGGCACCGCCCACAAGCGAAGGGCCACAAGGCCAGTTCACATGCAGAGGTATATATGCAACAACATCAGTACAGTGATCTGTACCTAGCAGAACAAGCATGCAGTTATATATATATAGATCACAGTAGAAGCAAAGTCTACAGCAAGTGAGGAAAAGTAGGCACAAGGCCTAAGAAAGTGCAGAAACGCTGATGATCACCAGACGGAAGTGCCTTGGTGAATATATCAGCAGTGTTGGCCCGAGTGGCCACATGAGCAAGACGAAGCTGACCACGCTGCTGCAACTCTCGAGCCAGGAAGTAACGCAGAGCGATGTGCTTCGTTCTGTGCTCCAGTCTATGCTCCTGACACAAGGCAATGGTGGCCTTGTTGTCGACGTACAGCACTGGAGGAGAACGAGGCCGCTCTCCCAGATCGGTCAGCAGGTAGGTAAGCCAGCGTAACTCCTATGCAGCCATGGCTGTGGCGTAGATCTCAGCCTCACAACTGGAGCTCAGAACTGAAGACGAGCGTGTAGAACGCCAAGAACCTGAACCAGAGCCAAGGCTGAAGGTGTAACCCTGTGACGACCGCTGCGTAGCCTGGTCGTCAACGTCGCTCCGTCCTCCAAGCACGAGCCCCATGCCCGATGTACTGCACAAGTAGCGTAGTACCCTCTTAGCAGCATCCATGTGCACCTTTCGGTGCCGACCAGGAGCCACGTAGCGAGCCAGAAGGCCAAGAGGGTACGCAAGGTCAGGGCAAGTGCAGGTCATCAGGTACATGAGGCAGCCCACTAGCTCTGGGTAAGGACCACTCGGCTCTACGGACTCGTCCGAAGGTGGAGCAGAAAGCGAGTGACCTGTCGCCAGAGGAGTGGCCTGTGCCGAGGACCAGGTGAAGTTGAAGCGCTGAAGGACCTGCTGCACCATGTGTGACTGAGTCAGTGTGATGGTGCGGCGTGCTCTGTCCTGGGTGATCTGCAAGCAAAGGTAGCTGTGCAGCTCACCTAGGTCTGTGCACGTGTGTCTCTTCTGCAGCTCCGACTTCACCAGGGCGAGAGCCTCAGTGTCAGCAGTGGCAAAGACCAAGTCGTTGACGTACACGAGGATGTAGAATGGCGGCAGCGAAGTGTCGGTGCGGAGAAACAGCGACGGGTCAGCAGTCGACGGAGCAAACCCAAGAGCCGCAAGTGTCGTCCTCAGTGTGTCGTGCCACTCACGCGGCGCCTGGCGGAGACCGTAGACTGGCCGCCGGAGGCTCCACTGGGTACCAGGAGGGAACGACCCAGTGAAGCCAGGAGGGCGGCGCAGCCAGATCTCCTCGTGCATGCTGTCCTGTAAGAAGGCTGTGCTGAAGTCAAGAGAGTGAAGCTCGTAGTCACAGAGAGCGGCAACGTGCAGCAGCACCCGAAGAGTGGTCATCTTCGGGGTGGGGGAGAAGGTATGGAAGAAGTCGACTCCCTCCCGCTGATTGAAGCCTCGAGCAACGTAACGAGCCTTGAAGACAGGCGGAGAACCTTGCGGCTGCTTCACCCTGAAAATCCACATGCCACTGACGATGTTCGCCCCAGGAGGGGGAACCTCGTCGACGTAGGTGCTTGTGGACTTCCAGGATGCCATCTCTGCGTCCATGGCTGTCTGCCACTGAGAGGAGTACTCACCCGCGATCGCCTCAGCGTAAGAGCGCGGGGTCGGGATGTCTGGAGCATCCGGGTCTCCCTCAGGGGCAAGCAGCATGGACACGAGATGAGGCGCAGCGGCTGCAAGACACTCAAGGTCCTCCTGCCTGTCCTCAAGGACGTCCGTGCTAAGAACACACTCACCCCCGACGTACGGAGGACAGACAGACTCAGACTCAGTAACCAGACTAGCGGCGTAGTCTAGACGACAGGCAGTAGCAAAGTCAACAAGCTCAGCGACTAAGGCAGACGCAGCAGCAGACTCAAACGACGGGTCAGTGACAACTGTGGCGAGCAGACGCATGACAGTAGGGTGAGCAGCACGGGTGCGGTCAGAGTCAGGCTCAGGAATGGTAGGCAGAGAAGATGCAGGAGGGGACGGCAGGGGAACACCCTGCGGAGGAGAGGAAGGACGACGGACTACGAGGTGGGTGTCGATGATAGCCGGCTGACGCGAACGAGGAACACGACGACCGGAACGACCAGAACGGACAGGCGAGACAGGACGCGACGCAGGCTCACGACGCTCAGTAAGACCCCCTGTCTGCTCAGTGTAAGGAGAAGGAGCAGGCAGTGGTGAGCCAGGCTGTAACAGAAGACCACTAGACGAAGGGGGACTAAGAACCTGACGAAGCACAGAGTCAGACGGTGGCTGAGACGACGGAGACGGTGGAGCAAAGAACAGGCGGGGCTGTGCAGTGCCACCAGCACCAGCAGCTCCAGCACCCCCAGCAGCTCCAGCAGCTCCAGAACCCTCAGCACCAGCTCCTCCAGGACCAGCTCCACCAGCAGCAGCACCCCCAGAACCGGCACCTCCAGTCCCAGGGTCTCCAGTCTCAGTGTCTCCAGCAGCAGCACCCCCAGACCCAGGGTCTCCAGCAGTAGCACCCTCAAGCTCAGCACCTCTAGCCCCAGCAACTCCAGTACCTCCAGTACGAGCACCTCCGGGACCAGCACCACCCCCAGCTCCAGTAACGTCAGCAGAAGTACCTCCAGCGGCAGAGCCCCGAGCTCCAGAAGCACGACCCTGACGGCGACCGTACCACTCGTGCAGCTGCTGTGAGGTGAGAGGCACACGCGGACGAAGGCGACTACTCCAAGGAGACCGCGCAACAGCAGACTCAGAACCCTCAGCGCCAGCACCCGCAGCAGCTCCAGAACCTCCAGCTCCAGCACCACCAGCAGCTCCCGAACCTCCAGCTCCAGCACCCTCAGCAGCTCCAGAACCTCCAGTAGAAACAACTCCAGTAGCAGAGTCACCAGCTCCAGCGCCTCCCGCAGCTGAGCCCCTAGCTCCAGTAGCGCGACCCTGACGGCCAGCGTACCACTCACGCAGCTGCTGTGGGGAGAGAGGGAGTCGACGACGAGAGCGCAGCGGCGAGGCACCAGCGGAGCAACTACGTAGACGGCCACTCCAGGGAGACTGCTCACCAGACGCCTCAGCGCCTCCAGGTGCAGCATCCCCAGACTCAGTACTCTAGGCACAGCACCCCCAGACTCCTCACACCCAGGCTCAGCACCTCCAGTCTCCGCACCCCCAGGCTCCGCACCTCCAGGCTCCGCACCCCCAGGCTCAGCACCCCCAGAAGCAGCACCCCGAGCAGGACCACCCTCAGCAGGACTTGAGTCACCAGTGACCTCAACTGGCGCAGTCAAGGGGGGAGGGTCTACCTGAGACACACCTGAAGGAGCAGGATCGCGAGCGGGGAGGGGGTCTACCTGGGGAGCACTTGGAGCGAGGAAGAGCGGCGGGGGGGGGGAGAGGGGCAGTGCGGTAGGGGAAGAGACGGTAAAAAAAGGGAACCGACTCGTCGAACGTGACGTCCTGAGAAGGGAAGACACGGCGAGAGGTTGGGTGGTAAAACTGCCAACCAGGCGCGTCAGGAACAAAGCCAAGGAAGACACAGGGAACAGCGCGGGCGGAGAGCTTGTCCGCGGTGGTATCGCGGACAAAGGCACGAGCACCCCAGACCCGGAAACGCGACGCATCGCCAACCTTCCCCGTCCACAGCAGTGTGGGCGAGGTCTCCGGCAAGGAGACACGGGGCCAGAGGTTGAGCTGATGCGCGGCGTACCGGACCGCAAACGGCCACAAAAAATGGGGGGCAGCCGCATGGATCATGGAGGTACGAGCGACCTCCATGACTAAGCCAATGCGGCGCTCAGCAACCCTATTCTGCTGCGGAGAGGCCGGAAGCGTGAACGTCTGGCGGATGTCGTGCTCCGCACAGAAGGCTACCAAGAGGTCTGAGGAGAACTCACCACCTCTGTCAGAGTGCAGACGCAGGACAGGAAAGTCCGACTGGAACCGCTTGCGGAGCTGGAGACGAACAGCGCGGATCCAGGGGATCAAAACATCAGGGACATCCCCCTTGCGCTGCAAGGGGAAGACCGTGGTGTAACACGTGTAGTCGTCGACGACCAGCAGGAAGTACCGCTCGTGGCCCGGTCCAGGGACGCGGGCTGGGCCCCACACGTCCAGGTGGAGAGTCTGCAGGGGAGCCTCTATGGGAGAGAACGAGGAGGAGTGAGGAGCGGCGCGCTGCCGCCCCTCGACACAGGGAAGACAGGGAGGAGCAGGCGAGGGTGGGAGGGGAGGGAGAACCCTGGGAAGACCAGAGACAAGGACACGGCGGTGCATGCTGCGAAGGCGCTGCACCG